ATCAGTAGTAGGTTTCTCATGTTTAAAGGTTAACGCATGTGTTAGTAGGAAATGTTAATAAGTTGGGTCCCAATTGTCTTTTGAAAATATATGGGGAGGAGACAGATCCACAGAAGGAAATCTGTGGCTTTCCCCTGTTGAAGTTGTCTTCTCTACTGGTTTGTCAGGGAATAGGCCTCAGCCAGTCTCCAAATCAGTATATTCTGGCTTGGGAAATCAGGCCATGCATGTGGAGACTCTGTGATCCTTGCTATACATCTCTTGGGTAGTGAGACTCAAAAAGGAACTATGTTGGTAGGTAGGGCTGTGCAAAGCTTCGGTCTCTGATTTAATTCGGCAGAGATTCAACCCGATTCGGTGGTTGAATCTCCAAATCCAAATTGAATCAGAGGACCCTTTAATCTCTCCAAATCGAATTGGAACCCTCTGAATCTATTCAGAGAGATTCGGAAAGATTTGGAGACTTGGACATAGAGACAGCTTTAAATGTTTTTTCTACATACCTCTAGGTACCAGGCAGTTTGTGAATGCTGCAATGCTGGGGCACATGGAGCATCCCACAGAAGTGTGAGGGGCTCCCCAGTACGCTTGGCAGCAGACCTGGAAGTGGACCAGAAGCACTTCTAGTCCACTTCTGGGTCTGCCGAGGAGTATGCAGGGGGGCCCCCCTACACCCTGCTGTCTCAGTGACTGGTACCTCCTGGGTCTGGGGGGGGAGCCCCTGGGGTCCCCCTGTGGCCAATCACCGAGTCGGGGAGGTGTGGGGGGCCCCCCAACGCACTCCCTGAAGACCCAGAAGTGGACCGGAAGTACTGCCGATCCACTTCTGGGTTTGCCACCGAGCATGTGGGGGCCCCCCCCCACTCCTGTGGGATGCTTCATGTACCCCAGCATCGCAGCATTCAAGAGCTGGGCCTACTACCTCAAGGTATGTAGAAAAAACTTATAAAGCTGTGTCTGAGTCTGAATCGCTGATTCTCCAAATTAGCATCGAATCTTCAGTTTCAGGGATAGTGATCCGAATCAACCAATCAAACCACTGTCCCTGATTCAGGCTGAATCCGAATCCAATAGGGCTTGCTTCTCACACCCCTATTGGTAAGCATTTAATTCCCAGCCAGAAGCTTGTGCCAGACGTTACTGAGCCTGAGCTGTTTTTCTTATGGAATTGACACCAATTAAGTGGGAGGTAGGGGCCCAGGGGAGATGCTACTTCTTTAAATGGGGAATGGAAAGGCTGTGAAGTGCTCTAAGAATGACTGAAGCACTCCAAAAACAGCAATTGCTTTGAAATGCTTCATTCTGAAACATTTCTAGTTACACATGCATGCTTCACAAAACACAACAGTGTTTGACTGTTGCTCAGTCCTTTTGCATCTTACAGTGCTTTGCTCCCACCCCCCTGCATGAGTAGAGGAAGAATGAAGCAGTCAGCCAATGATCACTTATATGTGCTTGGCCATCCTCAGCAGCCACCAGAGCCTGAGAGTCATGCAAGGTATTCCCAAGAATAGAGAAAATGATTCTTTGCATGGCTTTTGGCTCTTAGAATTGGGAAACCAGAGGCGCTGAGTACACGAGAGTGCATTCATTGACTGTCTGCCCATTCTGTTGCCTACCTCCCCCACTCATGGCTGAAGAACATGCCACTGCATGCCATTGTGGCCATTCTGAAGCATGCTGGTAGAAGGATACATTTGGGGGCTGTATGGTTGTCTATGGCCTGAAATGCCCTGATTTGAAGCTCTCCAAATTGTAACAGAGTTTGGACTACTTCAAGTATATGTCTCTCCATGGTCAGGTGTGTCACACATGCTTCCCCCAGGTTGCCCTCCCTCTCCCTTCCCCCCCAGGAATCCCAGTTCTGGGGGAAAGTAATATTGCTGTGGAAAACATGGGAAATTGAGATATTATTTCTATGAAAGTTTTATATGTTCCTGTTTTGACCTGCTCTCTTTGTGCTGCTGCCTGCCTGGATTCACAGGAGTTAAGACAGAGCTGAACCATGGTCTGGCCATATGCAGAAGGCATGGGCGATGGCTTGAGATAAATCCAGTCATTATATTCAGAAAACATATGTGAACTTGTTTGAACCTCACATCCAATCAAAGACTGTCTGGAAACACTGAAGATGAGGGAGAACAATAAGGGGAGACATAAACCAGTTCTGCCCAAAACAAGGACAGACAAAGGGAGTTGGAGGCCTCATGGGAAATCTGGAACAAAGACCTGTAGGGGCAAAACACCTTAATATTTTTAAGATGGAGCTTTATTAGCTTAAGAAAGGGATTGTATGCCATGGTACCTACAATTGCCAAGGGCTATGTTTAGTGACCTAGCAGGTCTCTTCCAGGCCTGTGTTCCTAATTATGTACAGTCCAGCACACAGGAACCAACAAGGGTCAAATGCTGCTCTTTACTCAGCTCTGTAGTTCCATCAAGCCTATAGACTAGAGTATGATTTGGAATAGCCAGAGTGAGAACCTTTATGGATCTACATGAACTGCCTAGATCTTGGGTCTAACCATGTGGGGATAACCTCTCTCTCTACTTCCTCTCCAAATTAAGTGGGTTGGGAATAGGCAGAGTCTTTGTTCCATTGTGATTACGTGTACTTGCCATTGCGCTCACTTACCTGAATTTGTAAGGTTGAGGGAAGTAACTTACTGCCAGTGATATATTACTGTCCTCACTACAGAAAGAACCACTTGTGAATCAGAGGGTGTCTGGAAAATAATTGCTCCTGGAATGGGGTATCTTGCTTACCACCACTTGCTAAAAAGTGTGGCTAATAGCACCATTTAACCAATGGAAAGCTTGCTTTAGTAAGTTGAGGAGGATATAGTTTTTATGTTAGCTTTTGGGTCAAGCTGCTTTCTTATGTAATGCTAGTTGCAGGGCTGTCCCTTGTGGGGGGGTGCGAATTGGGGTGACTGCCCTGGGCCCCGCGCTTTGGGGGGCTCCATGGACAGTGCTGTACAGGCCCCACTGCAACCGCTGCACACCGCCGGCTCCATGCTCTGGCCACTCCCCCCTCCCACCCCTGCTCTGGTGTGCACCGCCCCAGCCCCACATGCACTGATATGCCCTGGGCCCTGCACACCCCTAGGGATGGCTCTGGCTAGTTGGGGATGCTTCTGCTTTGAGCAGGGAGTTGGACTAGATGGCCTTCTGAGGTCCCTTCCAGCCGTAATTTTCTGATTCTAAATCTTGTCAGTATTTTGGTTTAATTGTAAATATTCTTTCATTGTGAAGCTACACACTCTTCCAGTTTAATTTTATTTAAGCAAGCACATACTTTGTCTGTAATACATGACCATTAAAAGCTGTTTTCTGAATTAATCAGAAAAAGGCATTTTTTTAAGAGCCCAATGATGTAAAACCTGCAGCTATTCACATGGTTCTCATGTGAAGCATTTCCAGGACAGATCTATTATGTTCTCTAGTAAACTCCCCTTAACACTTTCTTGCTTTATAACATTATAAGTACTAGCTGTTGCTTTCTTTTGTTTAGGGGTAAAGTTTGTATAGTCATTCCCAGCTTGTGTACAAGTTAGCACTGATACCATGCATACATCAGCATTGACTTGCTCTGTTTAGCATGGTCTGAATAGAAATATCCTGGCCATGTGCATCAGTCTTGTCTGTGTAGCCACATGTGGAATGCTCTCTGGCACTGAGCTGACAATGTAGGTTTAGGTAAACAGGTGCTGAAGCTTGTGCAATTGGTGTACAGTAAAATGATGGTGATAACATTTCAGTGACTTGTTCCATATTAACCATTGTAAGCAAGCCAACGTTTGATGCATTTCTAAAACCTACTCTTAAAGGCATATAACAGGCACTCAAGTAAACCATGGGCATTGGTGCTGGCCCTCAGTGCAGAGATGAATGCAATTCTTAAAGAGCCCAATCCAGTTTCATTGGAGCCATGAAAAACTCTACTTAGATTGCAGGGGCTAAGCTCCTGTATGAAAAATAGTTTTGGGCCTGAACCTGAAAACATTCACAGTTCACTTTCAACTATTGCTGTGAATCCTTGCAGGATCAGGTCCTTAAACATCTACACAAATGTTGCTTAGACAAGGGGTGTCAAACTCACTCCATGCCCAGGGACAGATCTGGACATGGTGGGGTGAGTGGAGGTGGCAGCAGATAACACAGTCATTGCTTACACCCTGCTGGTGACACACATGCCCAGCAGGGCTCTGTGTCCCAGATTTCTGTGGTAAGCCTCACCCCCGCTTGCTCCACCTCCAAATTTATGGCCTCTCTACCAGGGGCCACACAACATGACTCTGTGAGCCAGATGCAGGATGTAAGTTTTACACTCCTGGCTTAGACTATTTATTAAAATGCCTTCATCTCTCTTAACAAGCACAGTTTATTCACAAGTGAAGCCAGTAAAAACAGAGCTTCCTTTCCTAACCCTGTGGTATCATCTTCGGTTTTCCCAGCTCATGAATGAGTGGAATTGAGGTTGTCACTTAATTGTGGTCAGTTCTACACCTTTTTCAGGGTAAACAGCATGAAAACTTGTATAAGCAGTATTCCAGCCAAGGCTTTTATAAACCAGACTTTAATTTGTTATTCTTTTGGCATTCATGAATGCATTTGTGTGACCATGTGAGCTGGCTGTGGAAAGATACACTGTACAAAGTGTAATAGTGAAATGTTTTCTCTGGTTATTCTCTGTTATTTACAGAAATATAGGGCCCAATCCTGTCATTCTTCCTCATGTAAATAGTCCCACTGCAGTCAACCAATTGGACTATTTCTGTGTGTAAGGACTCTTCATGTGCATAAAGACTTAAATGAATAATCCTGGGATTTCATAGGGCGGAAATTTCAGAGGTGCCTAATGGAATCAGGCATTCTAGTTACATTCACCTCTACTGGAATTTAAATATTGAAATGTCCTTTGTGCTTTTGAAAATCTCCTATACATAAAATTTTATATGCATCAGAGAAAATCATATTTTTTCTTGATTTTTACTTAGGATTTCACTACAAGGATCTGGTTGTCGGTATCCCCAAAGAAACATACAAAAATGAGAAGCGAGTGGCAGTCTCTCCTGCTGGTGTCCAGATCTTAGTTAAACAGGGCTTTAATGTACAAGTGGAACATGGAGCTGGCAAAGAAGCAAAATTCTCTGACGAGCAATACAAAGAGGCTGGAGCAGTAATCAATGATATGAAAACTGTATTTGGCTCAGATATTGTTTTAAAGGCAAGTTTAGCATATGACATGAACCATATATTTATTTTGATGGCAGGACACAAATATTAGGTGAGAGAGATTCCAACAAAAAATGAGAATAAAAATAAAATTATAGAAGTATAAAAACTTACGTCTGCCATTAAATCATATAGAAAAGAAGTATAACTTCATACGTTTTCAGAAAACCAACAGCTTTAAGTGCATCATTAATGACTTAATGTATCATATGTCGGGGGGGGAACATCTCTTTATGTTCCCAAAGAGATTTTGCTCCATATACATCCTAAGTTATTCTGTCGAAGATTGCGTTCTATTCCATCCCAATTAATAGGCCTTTGTATAGAACATGTTTACACTAGTGCAGTTGGCCTTTATATAATTTTAAATGGGGATTGGGTAACCAACAAAAGCCCTACACTCAATCCAAAGGAAAATTGCCTCTCTATGGATCAGAAGTAAAAGTATACCACTGTAGTGTTGTCCACAAGTTACCCCAGGGAAGCTGTTAATATAAGCAGACTGCTACTGGCTTACCCTCTAACTACTAGTAAGGTGCCATAATAACGATTTGTTATATTGGGATAAGCTGGTTGTCTTTCTGCTCTGAATCCTGGTGCAATTCATACTGGTGTATTAAACCAATGCAAGTATGTCTTATGTCCAGACCTTAAATCACTACTTAATCAGTGGGATAAGATCATTTGATATAAATTCATTTAAACTGGAGCTGCCCAAGAAGCAAGGGCTTGAACTGTGGTCTGACAAGCTGCCACTCCAACCCTGGAGGTGGATTGCCTGGGTGGCAAGAAGCCTTGCAGTCCAGATTCAGCCCGTGGGCCCAAATAAATTGAAGAGCCTTGAAAACCATTTTTTTTTACTAAAATCGAATCTAAGGCTGTAATCATGCATCAGGATCCGCTACTTAGGGAGACAATAGGACACCATATGGCACAGGGGGTTAGCGTTAGGAAAGGTATTTCATGTGTTTTAGTTGACTTTTAAAAACTGCATTTCATATTAAATTAAAATTAGCAGCCACTGAAGTCCTCATATTGAACTTGTTTAATTAAAGCAGTAAAATATGGTATCCTTCATATCTAATTAAGGTACGAGCCCCATGTTTTAATGAAGAGCTGGGAGTGCACGAAGCCATTTTGCTCAAAGAAAACGCAACACTTGTCAGCTTCATTTACCCTGCTCAGAACCCGGACCTCCTAGACAAACTTGCCCAACGCAAAGCCACAGTCTTGGCAATGGACCAAGTTCCTCGAGTCACTATTGCTCAAGGATATGATGCTCTAAGCTCGATGGCTAACATCGCAGGGTAAGGATGCACAATATTAACTTGAAGACATGATTGTTATTTTGTACTTGATGGCATGTTGTATAGCTGTGTATCCCTAGTCCTGTTGGGTCTACTTGGTGTACAGGATTATTTTATCTGCCTCTTCTTACATGAAGGGAAGATAGATGCTGGCTGCTCTACTGACTGCTGCTTTGCCAGGTGTTGGGAGCCGCAGGGAGTATAAGACAGGTTCTTGACTGCCTGTGCCTGAATCTCAGGGAAGAGTAGCAGAGGGTGGCTCTGCTTGAGGATAGATGAGGTTTCTGCAGAGGATGGACGTTTACTCACACAGGTGAGTAGGACAGCTTGGTGAGAGTGGGGTGGAGAGGAGGGGTAGGGGACTGATTGCCAGCTGGGTTAATTGGAGTGCCATATACTCCAGACACTTCCTTCCCATCCCTGATCCACCTTCTGCACCAGGGAATGAAGGCAGAAGAGCTCAAGTGTAGAGAATCTACCACAAAGTATTGATTATGGCCACTTTATCACTCCCTCTCTGATTTAGGCTTTGAAGAATCACTGTATTTTAAAACAGTATGTTTCCCTGTTACATAAATACCAATGCCTTAAAAAAGGCTGCTGCTGCTTCTTTTTTTTACCAATAGAAGATATGTGAATTGTTTGAGCACTATACTTGTTGCAGGTATGAGAGAAAATTAATTTCAGCAAGCCTGTTGAAACACATGTGGTTCTAAATATCCTCGACAGTATGATAAATGTGTCTTATATTTGGCATAGCTTTAACATACCAATTTTTATTATTTTTCCATGATGATCTTTCACATAAGTAAAGCTGAAACATAAGATCTTTTGCAGTGGAAACTATGAATTGATAGCAACATGCAAACTGGACTTTCCTTTGTTTGAAGTAGAAGCTGTAATACTGTCTTTGAAGTTACTCTACTACTTTGAGGCCTGACACTAGGGGCTGCATGAATTTGGGTGCTCCCCATGGAATAAAAATTTTGCCCTTACAAAAATTCTAGCCTCTGACAGTCAGAGGTGCAAGAATCTCCCTGCTGGTCTTGAACCCTAACCTCCCACATAGTATCACATTGCACTGCTGGCCAAGCCATCAAGACCAATCACCAGTCAGCAATAAATGCATTTTGAATCAATTCAGCTTTGGAACTGATTTCAAAGCCATTTAGATTTATGTAAGGAACTCGTTAAAAAAAAAGCACAACAAACTAGTTTAAATATTGGACCAATTATTTATGTACATAGGCTACATATTGAAATGGTTTAAAATTTGAACCAGTTTGTCTTAAACAGAATCAATTTGGTAAAGATATCAAACATATTTAAGTGCTTCATTGAACAAGGCATTTTCCTCGCCACTTGTTTGCTGCCTCGCCACTGATGTTTTATTCAGAAGACATCTGATAATACTTTCTCACAGAATCCTGCCCACTATGCATGACATCATGGCATTCCCCTGTAAAGGATCAGAGTGAATATAGTCCTCTAATGTTAATGTCTTGCACAACATAGAGCAGGAAAGCGTTTTATGCATATCTTCTTCCCTCTGTCTCCAAGGGACTTTAAAATGCTCCTTTGTAGGGAGCAGAGAGAAAAATCTAAGCGTTGTCATCATTATATCAGATGCTTGGGCTCTTTTTATTCACATTTAGCTGTCAACATCTGGAGACTCAATTGTTCTACACCCCCAAAAACAAAACAACTCTGTTTTTCCTTTTCCATGGGTGGCTATTTCTCCAAAACGCTTCCCAGGACTCAGCTGTCCCAGTGCCCTGTTAATAAGTAAACAATGAGCTAACAGTCAGACATAGGATGTGCCAAACCTGAAGTCTGATACAACATTCACATTTCTTTTTTAAATCCTAAAGCATTTTAAATTCAAATGTAAATGATGTTTTGAAACAACTGGGTCAGGGACTGTTGTCCTTTATTCACTGAACAAATAAACCAAAAACAACAGCAATGTCATAGACTTTCACATATTATTCTACCAACAGCCATGAACTGATAGGATGACTTTTAGGGACAAAAGATTGTGCTAGTCCAAACCTTAACTTTTGCTGGCAGCATGCCATACAATGATAGTGTGGCAAGTGGCCACAGGCCAGGCGGCTGCCTGCTGTGGCAGAGGTGGTGTCCATATCAGTAAGCTAAGAAGCTGCAGGGTGAGTGGGGCTATAGCAACACAGCCCTCACTCACCTCTCTACCACTGAATGCCATGTCCAAGAGGGTCCCAGGACAACAGATTATGTGGCAGGCCCTTCCCACTGCTAGTCATGCCCCACATTCCATAGCCTGCTGGTAACGTGGATCCAGCTTGTAGGCCATACGTTTGACACCCCTGATATATAGTATGACTCTCACCACCATTTTATTTCTCCTAAACTTCTTCTTGGATTAGAACTTGTTTGTGTTTCTTGCTAGGGAAATGTAAATCAGAGGGTTCTTTCATCTGTTTGTTTATTTGAGAGGAAGCAGTTAATGGACAAGACTGTTCAAGAAGTAAGCACTTTATGTGAACATGATCCGGGATTACTCATCAGTGTCTGGATATTTAAACAGTGAGCATCTGAGATGAGTAAACCAGTCCCTTAGCAAAAAAGGGTAAGCACATTACAATATCACTTCCTCATTAGGCTGGAAACCACAGAAATAGGATTCAGTAATTTTTACTAAAGAAGGAAAAGGGAGAACTAAAAGCTCATACACACTGGTATGTAAAGTGCTTTGTTGTGGTATTTTTATTCCACAGGATTTTCTAACCAAATTTTTATAGCCAGAAATTAACTGAAGCATACTATACAAGTCAGCCAATTTCCTTTCACTTTCTCTCCACAAATGAGAATGAAAAGTACCATAGGCAAGATAGCTTGCTGGGCAGTTTGATGGATTGACCTATGGAAATACGGGTTCAGGTATTAGCCACCAAAAAATGGAACAATTCAAAGGTAATAAATTTGGTCTTGCAGACATACCTGCTGGAAACTGGAAATAGCAATGGAAAACCCCTCTGCTCTCAAGACTTATGTGAAGGAAAAGGGAAACCTTACATGTCAGTATTTGTAGAAGGTGCCTGGCTCGTGCCTGCTAGCAACAGTGGCCTCAGTGGAACATGATTTGCCACCCCTCTTTCAGGGAAATATGTACTACTTTCTTTCAAACGGCACACAGATGAGTATGATTGACTGCAGTGCTCTCCACATCTTCATGAATCATCCTGCCTTCCACCAGGAGTCTTTACTAAATTTAGGCTAAGCTGAGAACATCATTTACCAGTGCAACTAATTCCATATGGTTTGGTAGAATTCCTCTTGATTCAGAGCTGTGTTAGGAAAGGAATAATGGGCTCCTGCATGTCACAGTCTCTTTAAATTGTGTAATGTTTGTGAAAACTGAGGCAAATGTATAAAAATATAATTTTGAATGAGAACAGAAATATGTTGTTGAGTTAAACAAGCACATCTCATATGTAAAGCATGCAGCTACACAGTATTTTCTTTTTATTTTATGCAGCATTGTAAAGGCTAGAGATTTCTTTACTCCCTGGGATTTTCATCATAGGAAATATTTTCTAATTTTCCAACACCACGTGTAGTATTTTTCTTCTCCTATTGTCAGATGGAAGTGTGGTTATGTGAATCATTTCTCATGTATGCAGATAGGGTGCAATTAAGGGGGAAAAATTACAAGCAATGATAATGTCAGTACAGTCATTACTGTTGGTCTTCACAGACTCATAAACAAAATCATGAGAATACTTTTTAAAAGGTCTTGCTGACAGCCCTGGCAAATATAAACAATTGGTCTATAGAGATGAATAGTATTTTCCCATTATGCACTCTCTCTATTTTTTTAGCCTAAAGCTTTATCTGATTAATTTAGTGTCAAATGCTCTGATTTTCCTCCAGTAGTTTAGCACATAGCTCAAAACAAAACTGCATTTTTAAACAAGCTTACCCTAAAATATTTGTTTATAACATTCATCCACCTCCCTATTTGCCCTGAGCCCAAAATACTTTTAGTCACTCCAGTGGCACATTACTATGAAAAGAAAATGGATAACATTCCATGGCAGAGGATTAATTTTGGTTCTAATACAGAAAACTAATACAGAAAATAATCACATTAAAATTAGATTTTGGGAGATTGCTAATAAAGCCAGGATTTTTTGTGAAGGGCATCATGGATAACTTTAATTGAAACAAAGAAAAGTTTAATGGGACTGAATACAATCCTAGGTGGATGTATGGTGGGGCTGAGTTTTACTCATAGTCTGAGCAGTTAAGTAGGGACCATCTGTTAGAATCCATTTGGTATATGTCATACTTTTAGTTTTTTGCTCTTGCTCAACTTGAGCATTAGCATGTCTCACTTTTTCTCTTCTCTCATCTCTATTCACTGGTGAAATCCTGGCCTCATTGGGCGGGTTGACACATGCAGGCATGTGTACTTCCAGCAGCAAAAATAGAAGCAGTGGAAATTTGAGCTGGGGCTTTTTGCCTCAACACATGTGCCCAGACATGCACTTTGCTGTGGGGCAAATTGTGCCACTTGGGGCAAAATAATCCTGCCTGGCCCTTCCTGGATCTGCAGCCAGGGGGAGCTAGAGCCCGGGGCCAGCACCTGTACTGTCCCAGGCAGTATAAAAAGCTGTCCTGTCTTGGCCCCATCAGTACAAAAAGCTGCCCTGTCAAGTAGCTCAGGGCTACTCACTCTCAGGAGCTTCTGGGGCCCAGCCAATTGGTACCTGCGGACACTACCCCTTGTGCCAGCTGGACTGCTGAAGCAGCCCTGAGAGTTCCCTGCACACTCTACCCACTGCAGCAGTCTGGCAGTGGGGGCTGCTGCCTGGCTGTGACCTGCTGTGCACCTGCCAGACCCGGATGGGGACTGCACAGCCAGTTGAGGCATCTGCCTCTCTGGGCCAGTTGCCAGTGGGCAGTGGCTGCAGAGTTGGCCTTTGTGCAGCACTACTGCTATGTGTGCCCCTGCCAGGCCATCTGGGCAGCTGTCACCCGGAAGATGTTCCCGGTGTGGTGGCCTGCTTTGAACTGTCAAAGCATGTCCCTAACATCTATATGAATCTATGTCCTCCTGGCACCAACTGGCCAGGAGGT